AATTCTTTGTTGTGGTAGGCAGTCCTGTGAATTCTAGAATATTTAGCAGCATCCCTAGCCTCTGCCCTTTAGAAATGAGTAGCAGTCTTCTAATTGTAACAACCAAAAGTGTCCCTAGAAGTCCCTGTTTTTTTGCTGCTGGTTGAAAATCACCAATTTAGAGACTACAAAGTGCTGTCACATATTAGCTCATTTGAACCTCACAACAACTTTCAGAGGATGATGTTACTTTGATCTCAGTTTTACAGATAAAAACACTCAGACTCAGAGAAACTCATCTAAAAATGGAGGGTATGGAACTAAAACTTGGGCCTTATTATGCCACATACTGACTTTTTGTACATTTGTATGTACATGAGTATGTATTCCCACACATTTTCCTGTTACCTTAAAATCTAAAAGTAGAGTACAAATTAAACATTCTAAGAAGTTCCTTATTTTCGTATTTCATTTACAGGCGTATTATTTCATATCTCCTCTAATAACTTAGCGATATCTGTCTCAGGTGTCTTAGTGATTACTGGGTTCCATTTTGTTTTTTTCAGGAAAACTTTTATAAATGATTACAAATTAAATAAAAGGAGTAGGTCATCTACAGAGGACTGTTGCTTTCTTCTATTCTGCCTGGGTCTGTCTTTTTTGACATGCCATTATTTTCATTCTGCATTTGGAGAAAATAGGTTACCAATAGAAATTTTGGTGGGCTGCTTTTATTTCCTTATTAACTTTCATGAAGTGTTTATGTAAAATACTTGTTACAGAAATTTTTATAAATGGATTTTAATATTCAAAATCTAATTTTGATTTCAAACCCAAGTATCAAATTTAGACTAAAATGATATACACATTAGTTTTTCATGAAAATAGGAAATATTACGACATATCTAGATATTGTGCTTTTCAACAATGTTTATTTAGAGTTAAGAACCGTAAACTTTACTTAAGGGGAAAAGAATCCCTTTCACAGTGCATTATGCACTGTTAGTCACCTCCAGAGCGTCTTTCTTGGTCACAGAGAAGATTGAGATTTAACATGTAATTAAGCAGTCAGGTATTCCATTTCTTTGGGGTGGTTTGGGGGAATTTTACATTTTACTCCCCAAAGGATCACCTAGAGAAAGCCAAGAAAAGAGTCCTTGAGCCCATGGGGCCATTAAACTTTCAATGGCCCCTAGGGTAGATTAGACATCATTTGCAGAGCTGCCTTGTCATCCTTCCTGGCCTTACTCTCAAGTCATTCAATTCATTCATTTTCATAGAGATTGCTCTAATTAGCCTTCTAAACCAATGTCCCTGCCTTTAGATCAAGGGTAATTTCCCACTGGCCATATCTAGGTCACTCCCAGTTTTTGTAGGGCCTATAATCTAAGAATGGTTTTTATATTTGTAAATGGCTGAAAAAAATAGTATTTTGTGACATATAAATTCTATGAAATTAAAATTTTATTGCCTATAAATAAAGTTTTATTAGAACAGAACCACATGTGTTTGTTCATCCAGTATTGAAAACAACCACCCTAGTCTCTACACTACTATAAGGGCTATCTTTTTAAAATGCAAATTATTCTAGGTAAATGTGTTTAAAGATTTTTTTAAAAACATTAACCAGGTAGGTCAGGGTTCTTAGTTCTCACAGTGTAATTTCTGTGACAGCACATGCAGGTTAACATTGTACCTGACTATAGGTGAGTTAAAAATGTTCCCATCTCAAGGAGTTGAGTTGATAAGAGTAATTTATGTATGAGTGTAATGAGCATTAGCCTTATCACTAAAAAGAAAATGTAGCGTATTTTCACACTGTAAGCATTTAGAAAGAACTAGTTTTACTCATTTCTGTTCTTATTAGAGCAGCTTTTTTCTTGAATTCCTAGTAAAGCATATATACCTAAGCTTGCAGTAATTGATTTCATAGAGATGAAAGGAACAGATGCGTGAGAGGGACTTTAGTTACTCCAGCGTGGGTATACAGAATGTCATGTGCTAAATTTTCTTAATAGTAGTTTTTTTTTGTTTTTTTTTTTAAGAGACAATGTCTCTCCCTGTCACCCATTTGAAGCTCAGTGGTACAATCATAGCTCATTGTAACCTCGAATTTTTGGTCTCAAGCGATCCTCCCAACTTGCAAAGTGCTAGGATTATAGGCATCGATCATTTTGCCTAGCTTTAGAATTTCTTAAATAATGGTATTCGTTAGAAAGGAGCAGTAATAAGCTGGGCGTGGTGACTCATGCCTGTAATCCCAGCACTTTGGGAGGCCGAGGTGGGTGGATCATGAGGTCAGGAGTTCAGGACCAACCTGGCCAACATGGTGAAACCCCCATCTCTATTAAAGATTCAAAAAATTAGCCAGTTGCGGTGGCATGAACCTGTAATCTCAGCTACTCAGGTGGCTGAGGCTGGAAAATTGCTTGAACCCAGGAGGTGGAGGTTGCAGTGAGCCGAGATCACACCATTGCACTCCAGCTTGGGCGATAGAGCAAGACTCTGTGTCA